TTGGTGTATGAATCAACAGCGTGTACACTTTTTGTGTACTCAAGTTATTAGTTCTCTCAACATTTCCCACTGGATTTCCCTCGTAACTGCATTTTTATTTTAGGCTATTGACTAAGAACCCATAGACTACTTAATTCAGATATTCTGTTTTTGAGATTGTGGAGAAGATTTGTAGCTGAGGTGGATGATTTTGGTGGAGTTTTGTTCTCTGAGCTGGATGGTTTGGTCGTGGAGCTTTCATCGTTCTTCTGAACGACATCATCAGCACAAACTTCAGATAGAAGTCTATCTGAAGTTTGAGCTCAGAGAACAAAACTCCACCAAGATATTCTGTTTATTAACTGTAAAATCTCTGTTACACAACCTCCAGTTCTATACAATCACTATAATTTATTTATATTCATATGTATTGTATAAAGCGAAAAAGTTTCAAATGAAATAGTTACTTTGATTTGTTTCCTTCCTTAATAGTTGAAATATAAACATGTTAGTTTTATCTCAAATAATCAGAATATAAAGATTTCATGGAATGAACAAATGTTAGCCAATTCACAAATTTAAAAGTAAAGCTCAATCTACTTATAAGTAGCATAAATAATTGCCTTAAAACGTGTAGAATACGTAATATGCATGGCAAGTAATGGATGAGTCAAGAAGTCCTTTCATCCCAGATCAGCCAATCAGATAAACGTTTTACCACAGAAAATCTCTGTACTATTGCCGAAAATTGTTCTTTAAAAGGCCAGAACATTTATTAATACCGTCTCTTTCTTACAGGTTACTAACTATTGTCGATTAGTGTGTTAAACAAGCGTTACAGTTTGTCATCTTTCTGAACTTTCGGAGTTGTACAAAAAAGGCGAGCTTCAGTTGGAAAATGCTTAACAAATTTAGATTTCGTATGCCGAAATGACCGTATTAATATAATAGAACTTCACTCGTACTTAGTAAACTTTTAGTAACGAGGTTTACTAAAATCATTTTGCTCATACTTGGACGAAACACATAAACAATGGGGCACCAAATACATGTGCGCCACATAATAACAATGAGGCCAGTAGCAGTTATCATTGATGTATGTTAGGTCTGTGATACTCCCCGGGTGCCCAAATCGAAGCAGGTGGTTTTCTTAGGCCACACCCGGAGCCTTTGATTTGAAAGTCTAATCCATAAGGTAGTGAAGCGACTTTAGGAGATGCAGTCCTATGGTAGTCGGTGACTAACAATAGGTTCATACGCCTTTTGTTCCCTCATACAATAAATATGAATAAAACTCCCGTTAATTAACACGTACGTTTTCCTAGGGAAAAATGCGGATTATTAAAAAGTTACCTGTTTTGCTACATCTTTCTGTACATTACAATGCATATTTATTCCATTATACCTTGCAATATTTAAAGTTGTTCAAATGAAGATTGAACAGTGTGTACACATTCTGAGAGTTTATTTCTCCTTAACTTTAACTTGGGTTGGGACGAATTAACGTAAGAAAATGGTTCATAATTCACAATACAGTTTGGATGCTTATTCGATGTAGCTACATGAATTACTCAATTTATTGTTTCATGTGGTACGGAGCTATCTACTGACATTTGTTGAGATATGACTTTTTAATCACATCGACTTTTCAGAGAGTGGTGTAATGCCCCCCCCAGCATATAGCTAACGATCAAATCTACTTTTAATTAGTTATTTACTAGGATAGTGTCCAAAAAGATATGCAAAAACTTGGTATTAAGGACGGGCTTGTTAGACTTTGAATATGTCCTAGTTATTCAACCGATTAGTTCAATGGCAGTGTTTGTCACTGAAAGGAGTACCAAAGAAGTACAATAACCTTATACAGGCTCTCTACTCGAACACAACTGGTAGAGTGAGAGCTTATGACGAACTGTCATCAGAATTGATTACATCAAGTGGTGTTCGTCACGGCTGTCCACTCTCTCCATTGTTGTTTAACTTTGTCGCTGACGTGCTTTTAGAGGTAACACTTCTCTCATCTCAATTCCCAGAAGTTGAACTTCTATCGGGAGATCCACTTTTCGACCTAGAATATACCGATGACATAGTTCTATTTGATGAAGACGCTGACAAAATGCAGAGTCTTCTGACCACTCTAAGCAACAATGAATATTCGGCATGCAATTCTCTCCCTCGAAATGCAAAATATTGCTTCAGGATTGGTTTGCATCAGCACCTGAACTAATGGTAGAGAGTGAAGTAGTTGAGCGTGTCGACCTCTTCATTTATCGTGGGAGACTTATCAGCCCTTGTTGTCTGGTGTGTGATGAAATCTCAGCACGGATACAGAAGGCTCGATTAGCTTCTGCCATTTATGGCGTAAACGAGATATCCATCTACCAACCAACGGACGAGTTTACTGCGCAGCAGTTCGTTCTGTCCTACTTTATAGCTGTGAAGAGTACAGGATATTTGTAGGTTACTAGTATTCGATCATAGATGTCTTCGAAACACTGCTCGTATATCCTGGGACCACCGAGTAAGTAATGCAGTTGTTAGGAAACGGGTACTGGGAAGGGATGGCAAATCAATTGATGACGTAGTGAAACTTTATCAGTTGAGATGGTTGGGACGTGTTACGTATGCCCAACCACCGACTGCCCCGACGTGCGATGTTTTATGGTGTAAGAGTAAGTCAGAAGGCTAGGGACGGCCAGACCGAAGCATGGCACAAATCCATAGTCATTGACAAGTGGACTAAGCCATGTTGATAGATGTAGACTATCTGGTTGGGATCCGCGATAGCAACTGATGGTTAGAGACTTTGGATGGCATGGGTCAAAACCATTTGCGATGGCGCAGGTGCATCCACTCTTTGTGCTCTCCCAAATCCTGGTCTTCTGAATTCTTCATGTTCTTTTTTTCTCTCCCCAGATTTATTTCTCTGGGCTATACTCCTTGAATAGCATTTTTAAACCTTAATCATTCCGATTACTACTTATAATTCTACTAACTCTACCAATATGGGATGATGTGGTACGGCAACTCGAACTGATGTACGTACGTACAAAGTTCTACGTCGTTGCTGACTGACTGATTCGACCCCTCAGATGCACAATTCTAAGATCCTAAAGATATACTGGTGACATATCTTCATACATTGCAAAAATAGCTGCATCCAAACTGGAGCAGAGGCTTTTCGGTTTCAGTCAGTCAGTTACAACGTAGGACCAGGCATATATATATGCATCGGTTCAAGTTACCACACCTCATTTGCACTACAAGACGAACACCGGATTCATGAGAGCAGTTAACTCAATGGCGTCATACATAAATAAAAGATTTTATGTAAGGATATAGTAGAGAAAGAAAGATGTGATATAATTTCAATATCATAGTTTAGGGGAAGAAAAAGAGTGTATACACCTACGCCGATGTGATCGACTCTGAGCTATGTCACCCAGTCTCTAACCACTGGTTACAATAGTCACGCGAACCCCGACCAAGTAATCTGCATATACCAACATAGCTACAGCTAGAAGTTAGTGACTTCAATGACTGATGCCACATTTTGGCTTAACCACCTCTAACTTTCTTCCAGCCATCACCAACACTAATCAGCATTGCACGTCGTGGTAATCGGTGTTCAGGGATACGTAATACGTGGCCCAACCATCTCAGTCGATGAAGATTCACAAACTCATCAACTGATTTACCATCATTCCCCTATACCTTGTGTCTAACCCCACTATTACTTACCCGGTGATCCCAGCAGATGCGAGCAATTTTCTGTGATCAAATACTAGTAGCTTACGAGTATCTTCTTCTCTCAATGGCCACGCTTCGCACTCGTAAAGTAGAACAGAACGAACTGCTGCGCAGTATACTCATCCCTTAATTGATAGACTGATATCTCGCCTTCGCCATAGGTGACGGAGGTTGGCAAAAGCCAAAAGAGCTTTCTGAATCCGTACAGAAACTTCGTCAGACACCAATCCATTAGGGCTGACTACCAAAATAAGTGAAGTTGTCGACGCGTTCGACTACTTCACTGACTATCCTTAGTTCAGTATACTCGTCTTCACCAAACTGGACTAAATCATCCACGTATTCTAAGTCGATAAGTGGACCTCCTGGTAAGAGATCAATGCCCGAAAATTCAGTCGACGAGAGCATCACTGCCATCAGTATATTTATGATAAAGTTAAACAAAAATGGAGAAAGTGGGCTTTTCGGTTTAGGTAGCTTAATTTTAGACAGAATACGCAATTGCATGTTAGTTTGTTAGAAATAATTTTAAATATGTTGATCAAATAGGTTCCCTTCCCACGTGTTTGTAGTTTTTGCACGAAATAAATAGTGTGGATAAGTACAACCATCCCAACGTTGATTGAAATCCTGAAAGGATTTAGAACACTTTCTTTGACTAGGGATTGATGAGAAAAATGGTCTATTTTAACCAGTGTTTGCAAAGTAGTTAAAAAATTCCAGATGGTCAGTAGTCAGTGAAGTATTGAGACAAAAAACAACTTTCCTCGTCTTTAAACATATTTAGCCGTTCCTTAAACAAGTAAACAGAGACCTTTGTCCTGACGGTAAAATGCACTCATTGGAATGCAACTGCTCTTTGGTATTTTCCGAAGTGTATATCCAATTTTTTACAGAAATACAAAACTAAAAAAGCCGTAATTGAAAGGGAAGTATTCAATGGAGAATAGGAAAAACTAGACTGGCAAATCCAAGACTTAGTACTTTTTATTTGTGTGCAAGGTGGGTTTATCTTTAAATGATCACGAAGAAATAAACATACATGGGAATGTGAGCATTTGTATCTTAAAATGTAGGATTTGCTGACAGAGACATGTTTACTACCGAATTCAGAGAAAAGCACCTTCTGAAAACCAAGGTTATCATTAATTTTCCGCTTACAAAAAAGGTAAAATGTAGAAAACAGTGCTCAGACGACATTTGGTCGGGGGATATTCGAAGCCGGATCTCATTATTGATTTAAATTATTATGAAAATAGAATTAGGTAAAAGGAGTTCGACGTGCAGCATTCGGATATTATTGGATAGGAATCATCCTAAGACCAACTTGAAAACAATCATCGCGATATTAACACCTATCAGTGGTACTAAGGTCATTTACGATTATGAACAGCTTGATATTACCTCTCATTACAGTCCGAACAGAGTGGATAAACGTTAAAAATTGGTACTTCACAGTTGTAGGAGGACTGTATTCGTTATCTGTCCGGCCACAGCCAACTAGAAATGTGACTAAAATATGAGAGTACTCACTTTTAGACAGAAATCTTTTCTCGTGGAGGATACAAATGGCATTAAGAATAAGAACTAAAGACTCAAGCAAACTGAAAAGACCGAGAGCCATGTAAGCATAAGTAAATGTGCCGTGTGATGACCTTTGACAATCGAATGACGTGATGATTCAGAACTTTAAACTTTCAATGCCGATAATCCTGGTTATGAACTTATTTAAGTCTAGAAACCTGTTATAATTTAAGAATTTTCGTATGTTTTGTCAATTATGATGCTATAACTACTGTAGCGGTCTTTCTATTAAAATACTTCGATCCACGATAGCCTATCAAATATATCTTCGAACCTCCTCGCTTCTGTCTTTTGATTTCACTCGGTGGGTACGATTCGTATTAGGTGTTACCGGGTAAAGCGTTGTCAAACCCCAAATACCTGTGGCATCTTCATTGGTGAACCTGACGTGATCTGATACACCAAATTGCAAACTATGAGTCTGTTCCCTTTTGAGGCTTCATATGTTATTACTTTATTTTGGTTTTTATGTATTGTGATTATTTCCGTGTTTCTGATATATATATATTTCACTCCTTCATTCTCGTACTTGATATTTCACCATGACGGAACAGACACCCAAGGTACTTAAGTTAAAGACTATGTCCCCACCTTCGTTTCAACTAATGCCCGTCTGGCCAGACAACACCGAAGATTGGTTCTCTTATGCAGAGGTCAACTTCCACGAGCACGGCGTGATTGACACACGTGCACAATTCTTCTTAGTAGTCAAGGCACTACCGCGCGAATTCAGCAGGTACGTAACACCTAGCATGTTTACTAGTGATGTTTTAGAACCCTAAGAAACACTTAAACAGTCTATCCTTCAACGCGGAGATCTAACCGATCGACAAAGGTTAGACCAACTCATTAATAATGTCGATCTGCAGCACGGTTGTGCGACAGACATGTTGCAAAGAATGTAAAAGGTTATCGGTCAAAGAACCTTCGATGATAACTTATTCAGACTATTTTTCTTACCTAAACTTAACAGGTGCAAGCTGCGCTGGTCTCGTTCCAAAACAATGCCGTACACGAGCTGGCTTCATCTGCCGGCCACATCCCAGAAGTCACGAAATCTTCTAATGCCGAGGTTTTTTCAGTCAAAGAAAAACTTCAAATGCCCCAGAATGACGTCACGGAATTATGTCATACGCTTACACGTTATCCTGGACCTCGTAATGACCGTAAATGGTCACTTGCCTTGCGAAGAAGCACTTCACGTAAGCGATGTAACTCTAGATCACGAGAGACGGATAACCTCGACTGGTGCTGGTATCATAACCAGCACGGAAAATCTCGAAATTTCAGAAAACCCTGCAATTTTCCGAACTCATAATCGACCAACACAAAATACAATTTGGGAAACTTCCCAGCCGGCACGCGTTAAAGGCAAGAGTAGCCGGCGAAAACAGCAGTCTGTCATACGTCACAGATGCCTTAACGAAAGTTCGCTACCTCATCGATACTGACTCAGAAGTTAGCGTATTTCCAGCAAATTCTAACAACCGGTTTCCCAGATCTGTTTTAAACTAACAGGCGGCAAATGGGAAGCCAATCACCACATATGGTAAATAGTACGTTTACCTAAACGTGGGTTTGCGCAACTCATTCACTGGATCTTCGTCGTTGCAGATGTTTCTATGCCGATCACTGGTATAGACCTCCTACAACACCACAATCTTCTCATCGACACGCACAAACGGAGGCTAGTATACGGAAACACTAATTTATCTGTTCGCGTAACTTCTTTTTCCGGTTGCAGAGTATCTCCTGTCATAATTAAGAACACCATAGACCCATTTTATTAACCATTACTCGATAAGTATTCTGGGGTATACCAACTGCAACCGAAATTGCCGTGTGCAACCACCAATGTTACACGTCACAACACGACTACAGGACCTCCTGTATTCTCGAAAGCGCACCAACTGGCTCCCGAAAAGCCGAGGTTGGCCAAAAACAAATTCGATCACATGATAGACTTAGGTATCATAAGACCGTCAAATAACCCATGGGCATCTTCGTTGCACATGGTCCCTGAAAAGGACAGCAACAGTTGGCGTCCAACTGGTGACTATCAGCGATTGGATGCGAAAACTATTCCCGATCGTTACTCGTTAGCCCACATTCACGGTTTGACAGCTACCTTGAAAGGTACAACTGTCTCTTCGAAAATCGACTTGGTTAAAGCTTATAACTAAATTCCCATGACCACTGACGACATTCCAAAAGCCGCTATCATTACTCCTTTCGGTCTTCACTAACTTTTGCGGATGCCTTTCGGCCAAAGAAGTGCTGCCCGAACATTCCAAAGGTTCATAGATGACGTTTTTTGGGTTTCAATTTCGTACATGTGTATGCTGATGACTGCCTAATAGCAAGTCCGGACAGAGAATCGCATCTCCAGCATCTGGATCTTGTTTTCGAACGACTGCAAAAACAAAGCATTACTGTAAACATTCGGAAGTGCCAAATCGGAACCGACTCCTTAGATTTTCTAGGACACACTATTAATGCTCAAGACATCTGGCCTCTCAGTATATGCAACCGAATCAGCGAACGGAGGAGTCTTACAAAAGTAGTTCATCACTCCTGACAACCATTAGCGTTTTTCTCGAGACGGCTGCTAGACACCGAATCCAGGTGTAGTACATTCGGTAGGAAACTCCTAGCTATGTATTGTGCTGCACGGCATTTTCAAAACTCTATCGAAAGCCGTGAATTCACCCTTTTTACTGATCACAAACCTCTTAATTTCTCTTTGAGCTCATCTTCAGACAAGCACTCACCTCAAGGGTTTCGACAACTGGACTACATTTTGCAGTTTACATCAGGCATTCAACACATTTCTGGAGCAAACAATGTGGTTGTAGACGCCTTGTCTCGCATAGCTTTCTTGAACAGTTTCCAAGGAATCGACTTTCTTAAACTCGCCCATCTTCAAAAAGAATACATTGATCTTAAGCACCAGTTATCCTCAACAACCCTTAAGCTGAACATTAAACAGATGGGAATAGGTAAGGAAACCTTACTACGTGACACATCTACAGGTAGGGATCGTCCAGTCGTGCCGGAACATTATCGACACAATGTCTTCAATACGTTGCGCAAACTTTTTCATTCATGTGTTCGCGCAACCATCAAGCTTATAACAGAACGGTTTTGTTGGCCTGGCATGAATAAAGACGTGAGAGAGTGGGCAAGCTCCTGTGTAAGCTGCCAGAAATCTAAGGTGAATAGACAACAAATGTTCATTAGGTTCGTTCAAAACTCCTGATGCTCAATTCGACCATGTTCATCTAGATTTGGTAGAACCTTTACCAGATTCAAATGGATACTCTTATCTCTTAACCTGCGTAGACCGTTTCGCTCAATGGCCAGAAGCATTACCCATTAAGGATATTACTACTGAAGCAATGGCCCGCACCTTCATTGAACAATGGGTAGCAAACTTAGGTAGCTTTTCAACCATCACTACAGATCGCGGACGCCAGTTCGGATCTGGATTTTTCCGTTGTCAGACCACACTATTAAGAATCACTCACTTCCAAACGACCGCCTTACACCCACAAGCAAGCGGGTTGGCAAAGCGCTTTCACTGACAACTAAAAGCTTCCTTATCAGCTGCAAACATTTCTCAGTGGACTGACGCTCGTCCACTCGTGTTACTAGGTATTCACAATACAGTGAAAGCTAACATTGGATACACTGCAGCTCAACACGTTTGTGGAACGACACTTAGACTTCCAGGAGAAATTGTAGATCCTCAATCTGTCTCAATGAATGTGGATCTAACCTCCTAAACGAGTAGGCTTACAAACGCAATACGGCCAGTTAAACCTGTCTACATACGACCGCAGTCAACTGATGTTTTTGTTCAACCTGACTTACGATATAGTACACATGTCTTTGTACGTCGAGACTCACATTGACGACCTCTCGAATCAGCATACGAAGGACCCTTCAAAGTTCTTCAGCGCGAACCCAAGTACTATATAGTCTATAAGAATGGAACCAACGATAGTATCAGCATTGATCGCCTTAAAGCAGCGTATTTAGAAGGAAATCCTATTCACGTCGATTTTCCTTCAGTACAATCGAACGACATGGCTCCTGCACTTATAATACCTCATCCGACAGCCAAAACGCACGTTGATACCTCGGCAGTATCTGAAAACAAACTTAAAACAACGCGTTCTGGCAGAAGAGTAAGATTTCCAGAGCATGCTTTTCTTGGCTAGGGATTGAATGCAACTGCAGCAAGTGTTATCACAATTTGTGCACCCGAATCATACCGGCTGCATATAAAAAATGCTGCAAGCCACTATCACGTTGGTTGCGCAAAGCATGCTGTTCTACAAAGTCTCCACTGATTCTTGAGGCGACTGAGCTACTGAACACAACTAAGCAGACGCCCTCAGATAAACAAACAGCAGCAGATGAACAGTTTTCAGCTTTAAAGAAACAGCGAGTGTTAACATGAGTCCAGGTTTAGATTTGAATGAAACTATCAAGGTAAACCCTAATGGCGTAGCGGATAAAAAAACTCACAGATGTAGGGATGGTTGCCAGAAAAAAACATGCAGAGAAGAAAAGAATTATTGGAAGCCCTGAGATAAGTGAGTCAACGGTTTCAGCTCTGGATCCATTCAACCCAAAACAGACTATTGAGGAGCAAAGCCTGATCATTGTAAACGATGAGATCAAAAGACATAATAAGGATGATGATTGGATTACAATTACGTCTAGAAAATGGAAGGTAGGGAAAGAGAGTGAAACCTTTGCGTCTGACGCCAGATTGAACTGCACGGATGAAATTTAAGGATACAAAACTCCATAGCTCGTTAAGATGGGCCTCGACGACGGGTCAGTCAATTTTTCATAAGCTAAGAGAATCTTCCGAAAAGAACTCAGAGACTGGATTCGAACATGATCTAGGCCACATTAAGTCCCTGACAAACAAGCTGTTTCCAGAAACACTATCAGGATTTAGCATCTATAATCTTAATAGAATAGGAAAAAAAGTGGGCTCTGAAAGCATGCAGAAAAGCCGCCTCT